TATATAATAACCAGCAGGAACATGATTTAACATACCAGACTTTGATAGGGTTCTTCAATTGTACATATAACGTCCTGGAAAATAACAAAAAATTTCAGGACTATTTCTCTTTATGGAAGAAGAATAAGAAATGCTGCTATGCTGCAGGTAATGGCTTCTGTGAATACTGAATGATTTAAAAAAAAATCTCATTATGTTTTACTGTATATTTTTTCCAAAGTGAGTTTTTGTCTAGAAATATTTGAGTCTTCCCTATTTTCAGGGTATGTGTTTCTGAAGATGTTTCTCAGTGTGCCAGGTGGGACTCCCTCTGACATGAACCTATCATTCCATACATATTTTTAACCATGGCAAAGCCCTTTTAAGCAATTCCTCCTGCCTCTTTTCCTGGTTATAACACAAGTGTTTGAGGGTTGGTGCAGTGCAGCAGGTGGGGAACCCCCTGTGTTCACACTAGCTGTGCAGGCAGTGCTGGAAGTTTTGGGCTGGCCATGATGTCAGGATGTGGTTTGGAGGATGCAGGTCAGATATCTGCAAAATCCTTTTCTTTTTGGGTCAGAGAACTGCCCATTGCTGGACATCCTCACTGCAGAACCTTGTCTGCCAGAGAAAATGTCTGGCTGGGGGGAGAAACATTTGCCTTGTGGCTGCTGGTCAGCAGGGCAGTGCTCACCAGAATTTGGCTTTTGGTAACACCAGAACTGGCTTGGCCCATGGTTGTAAAGTACTAAGGAAGCTCCTGTTGGGTTGGATTATTTCTCTGACCAGTGCAACAGCCTTTGTGCAAGAGGTGCTCACCCAGCCCATACTGCATGGTAGAAGAGGGGTTCCTATAGTACATGTATTAAAGCAGTGGTAGAAAGGAGTCTGTTAGACTGTGTAACCCTGTGTGTGTGCCATTTGTCTGTGAACTTTGCCATGGGGAAGTGGTAAAGGTTTTTTTTTTAGGCTGGAAAGAGAAAATCCTTCAATTTTAAGTTTATACTATGTGCATTTCAAGTAATTTCTTTTTTATCAAGGCTAGGATTGAAGGTGGGGTAGCTTCTTATTCTTCTTGCAGTGTGTTCTCTTCTATTCAGGCAGAATATCTCTAAATAGGCACTGGAGGAGTAAAATGTGTGTTTGGCACTGAATTTTAGTTGTATATTAAATAAACCTGGGTATGTGGCTCTAGTTAGTATTGAAACTCTCTGTCCTTGCTGTTAGTACAACTTCTGTAATTCCAGATGATTGTGATAAAAAAGCAGAACACTTTGTTCAGGACCTTTTAATGGTCTGCTGCAGGGAAATAAAAATCAAGTCTTTGCAAAGAGCAGTCACAGGACTCAATATTCACAACTCCTCTTGTTTCTGCCAGGTTCTCTGCATTTGTCTGCCATAGCTGGAAGAGGTTCTTTGGCTTTGTAAAATACAGAAGATAGGAAGAAAATCACAGAAAGAAAAATGTTCTTGGCTTCCAGCCCTATAAATAAGCATGGGTGAAACCTTCTAGGAAAAGTAGAATTGGGTATCTTGATGTGGTTCCACTGCTTTTGGAATTTCAGGAAAACTGACGTAACCTGTTGGGTCATGTTATTTGACCATATATGGCCATTGGGGTTTAGATAGTTACGCTTCATTCTCCTGTGTGTTTTAGTTTTCTCTCTAGTGCCATGTGCAACTAATTTATGTATTACTAATTCACATATTGAATTAATTTAAGGAAATGGAGTCATCTCAGGGATCAGTAGAAGGCTGAGGTACTGAATTGAAAATCAAGTTTGCAACAGTAACTTTGCAGACATCAAAAGGTTTGGAAGTTTTGTTTGGGGACAGAGACATCAAACTTGGATGGTTGTTTCTTCCTTGCTCTACAGCAAAGTGGAAAGCTTTGATTTCCATATTCCTGGAGGAGGCTAGACAGGGAGATGCAGCCTCTCACTCCTTGTTGGCGTTGTTGTGACCTGTCCCAGCCAAACCTAGGGAATGTAGACGCACAGGAAATATCTTTTTAAAATTTAAATATAGTCAGCTTTCTAGACAAAACCCCAAATTTGAGTTAGTACCTGAAAAAAAGGCTGTGGGTTAGTATTTGGCAGTTAATATTTTAGCTAAGGAAGAATTCTCATATCCTGGAATGTGACCTGGCTCTTTGAGTCGTGTCTGGTGTTTTCTTCTATCGGTGTTCCCAATTTGCAGGAAAAAAAAAAAAAAACCTGTATTCAGACCTCACTTTCTTTGTATTAATCAGCTTTGCATCCCCTGAGGGAGGAGGAACACTGGGCTATAGGAGGGGTGTGAAAGCACAGCTAATAAATCTATTTTAAGTTGGATGGATGAACAAATAAGCTCAAAAAGTGCATGAGGCCTGTGTTTCCAAAGGGTTTGGCTTTGCAGTGAAGTCTGCCAGTCTCATGGTAGATGTGTTCACTCTTCCTGGAGTACATCTTGGTGCAACACTGCCAAAAATTCCTGCCAGTGGCTGTGCCTTGTAGCCAGTACTGCTGCTGGTATCATCTCTGCTGGGGTCGTACCAGACCTGACAAATAGAGGAAGCCCTTTTTATTTATGTTTTCCTATTTTTATTTTTGTTTTCTCCTTTCAAGTGAGGCAAGTGTAGACATGGCTGTAGTGACAAACCATTAATAAAGCAAAAGGAATGTAGCTGCAACACTTTAAACAATGACACGTAGCAAATAAATGTCAACATATCCGTTGTTGTGCCTGGAATGGAAATATTACTTGGAAAATATGTTGCTTCAAGCTACAGTATGGGTTTTTTTCTCAAGAAAGTATTATCAGTGCAATGTTTAAACTGTTAAAGCTTGGCTTTTGTGTTCAGGCTAAATGAATGTGTCTTGTTTGGGGACTGGGGTTTTGTTTTAGATGGGTTTAAAATAATTTCCATGAATGTTTTGTTCTTTACAAATAAACTGTAAATGTGAATATATACATTTGCACAGACAAATATAGATGCATAAATAACTGCATGTATAGCCAGAGTAGTTGGAGGTACATCTGGCTGTTGACAAAATCAGTCTGTTTCCTGAAAGCTGTTCATTCATGTGCTCTCTGATGCTCATTACTGGGCTCTTTCAGTCCTTTTCTAAATCCTAAGCCATTAAGAAATGGTTCACATATTCTCTTCTTCCTTGGTAAACAAACAGAACCCCCCAAAAGTGAAGTTGCACTGCCCCACTCCTTCTCCACCCCCAAATCCCAACACCTCTGATCATTGTTGTTGGACTCGGATGTTTCTCAAAATTAAAACATGAAACTGTGAAGTAATGAGAAGCAAAAGCTTTAGGATGTACCATCCTAACAACTGTATCTCAGGCTTCTGGAGAACTTCTGTCCTGTAATTGAGTCTTGCATAAAAGGAGGGATTTAATTTAAAGGTGGATGAAAACACATTGCCTCCGTTTATGTCTTGGTGAAATGATGATTAGAAAAGTGGTGTTTTCTTACAGATGAGAACAGTGGAAAGAGCTGTGAGAGTTGTGCTAATTTTGGTGCTAAGTTAAATTAAAATGCTGGTCTTGAGCTGTGTGGCTGGAGGTCACATTGCCAAGTTTGCACATCTTCTGAAAAACAGATGTACTTTCAGTCTTCTGGTTCTGCTTAGATGTGAAGGGCCCCATTTGATGACAGTGAAAAGATAGGACACGTGATTCAGTCTGTGTGGGCACTGCCATCACTTCTAAATCATACAAGTGCTCCTCCTCAGGAGCTGGAGGAGCAGCTCTTGGTCAGGCTGATGTTTCTGATCATAGGGCTGTGCAGGTGATGGGATTGCAGGGAGCTCTGGAAGAGGATGATAAAAATGAAGACAGTGTATTTCAACTAAACTAATAATTTAGTTGTTGATTTAAAAAAAAAAAAAGAAGTTATTTGAAGTCCAGCAGTATTTGGGGCTGAGGGGACATAAGATTTGCTCCAACCCTGGTGAGACAGGCTCAGTCCTCCATCTCCTCTGGAGCAGCTGAATTAAACTCCTGGTTTATGGCTCTCTAGTTGTGTTCCGTGCTCTTTGCCAAAAATTCCCCTTTCTGTACTGTGGAGCACTCTGTTCATCTTTTGCCAGCTACCACCTAAGTCACAGCATATTTTTTTTCTAACTTGAGTTGGGGATGTATATGAAATTATTCAGGGTGACATTGGGATTCTCTGGCACGAGGTGTACTAAGGAGGCTGCTCACCACTGGACATGTGAGGTTGCTTTGCTTAGGAGTTATTGTGTACAAGTCTAGATAAGCTATGTGATGAGATCATCCATTTTATTCACTAGAGCTGCATTATTGCCCCATAAACCAGCGTGATGATACCCTTAACACTGAATTCAGACTTTTTTTTTACAAGGCAGCTTCTCATGGTTTCACTGATGCTCATGTATCACATCAGTTATCTGTGGAAGGGGGAGGGTGTGCTGGAAGTGATGTGTGATTTTTCACAAATCCTTACATGATGTCATCATTTTCTGTTACCCTTCCTAGAACGGGGTGTTCAGAACCTTGAGGATGTGCTGTCCCTCCTGCTCCAGCAGAAGCCTTAACCCTTTTGGGTTGTGATTAAGTGGAAGTCAGGTGTCTGGTCTTTGTTTTGTAGTGGCAGTTCACACTGTTTACAGGGCCCTAGAAAGAAGATAAAGGTGTTTGGCTTTGAAGTGTGGCTTTTGAGTGAAATTGCTGTAACATCTTGACCGTGTGGGTGATGCATTCCAAGAGCTGTGGCACCAAGTGGGATGGCGATTTAAGAGCAGAACTCTTAAGTGTCTCAGAACCTGCCTATTTCAGCAGTGAAGGCTGAGGTTTATAATTGTGGGAAAGAGTGGAGATCTGGCTGGTCGGTTTTTGGAGTTCTTGCATGGAAACTTGACTTTCTACGCTCTTGATGTAATAGTTAAAACCTCCGTCCAGATCCTGGAGCTCCTGTACACCTCCTGGTACAAAAGTTCCTGCTTAAGTTCCTGAATGGCAGAACTGAAGTTCTGCAGGGTCTTTAACTGCTGCTTTCTCTTGCAGGAAGTCTGTTGTGGGAAATTCTCCATGAATGTACGTCACAATGATGATGACCGACCAAATCCCGCTGGAGCTGCCGCCCTTGCTGAACGGGGAGGTGGCCATGATGCCTCACATCGTGAATGGCGATGGATCACAGCAGGTCAGAGATTGGCTGCCTTAAATAAACTCTCTCTGGGTCAACAAGATATTTTCAAGATGGGGAAAATGGTTTTCCATAGCACTGGGGAGTGCAGAGTATTTCCCGGGATGTAGAAATCTGTCTTTACGCTGAAAAGACATTAAAAACAATGATTAAAGTGTACTATTAAATTGAATGTGTTTGTTTGCATGTGTGTTCATTGAAGTAAAAATAGTGGAATTGAAACAGTGGTTATAAATGCTGTGTATTTGAGGGCTTTGCAGGAAGTTAGTCTTACGATTTACTTGTGTTCACTCTTGTCCAGACATCTTACTAGCATTTGTGGTGATATTTTAAGATTTTAAAAATGCTGAGATGAGGAAAAGAAATGGAAAGGAAAGAAATGGAGAATAGAGTGTGATATCTGCTATTCTTTGCTTACCTCACTCTACCTTTCCCAGCAGGCCTGTGTACTACCCTGTGCTTCAATATAAGAAGCAGATGTGAATTTTGAGTGAGTTTTTGAATAAAGGCAAGTTTACAGTTGCTTTGATTTTTTTTTTGGGAGATAGTCTCTAATAAGCTTGATCAGAAGTTAGGTGGAAAGATCATGAGACCACAGCTATGCTTTCATGTCACGATACAGCCTGGAGGTTCCAGCTGGTGGGTGTTAGGTTCCCAAATATGTCATTTGGGGTCAAGGGGTCTCTTTGGAGAACATCTACCCTGGCAATATTTTTTTGTTGCTCAATTTGGTTCTCCCCTCACATGAGAAGTTTCAGCAAAGTATTGTAACAAAGGTAGAAGCGAGCTGTCCTTCTTAAATCAATATAAGAGGTCATTCTGTTACTTCTCCTTCCTTGGATCATTGGTTCCTCCTTCCAAGCTGTGTTTTGAGTTAGATCAACCTCAAGAGGAAGAATAATTTCTGCTTTCCTGGTGAGCTTCTAAGTCTTTTTGGTTATCTGAAATCTCATTATGATGTGGATTTTCACTGTTGTGATTAGTTTGTTTGGTTTTTTTAAGTCCTTTTTGCAAAGCGTGCTTTGATTTGTAAAAACAGAAAGTAATGCTTTTAGTGGCTATATTTACCAAATCTACTATTAGTACACTTAGATGAAGGAACAGTCTTATTCATACTGGAAAGGATAATTGTTATTGAAATACACACTTTCTTCCTTGCTGGAAACCACTTATCAGGTCAGACTGTCCTGTCAGTGGGTTCTTCTGTGTTACAGAAAGATTAAGTGAAATCTTCTGAGCCCTCCTTTGAGATGGTGCTCTAAGCCCAATCTTTCCATTTCCCCATCTTCGATTCAGCAGCCTGGTTTGGCAGATGCCTCTGTTGCCTTTAAAGTAATTTCTCAGCTAATGTTTTGCATTAAAAACAATTGCAGGTGCACTGGAAGCACATTGCTTCTTGCTTTTGCTGCGTTATGCAAGCATGACGAGTAGAATAGTTCTGGGCCAGGTCCTTCTTCTGTGTGTTTGCTGGATGATGCTTTTAGGTTTCATCTCCTTATTTCTTGAAGTACCTGTAGCTGAAATACCAGTTTTCCATTACCAGTTTTTTGGCTTCTAGTCTGGATGTGCCCTCATCTCTTGCAAAGCTTAACTACCTCTATGCTTTGTCGTTTCCATCCTATTCCTGAAGATTTAGATGATGTCTTCGCTTTTTAAAAGTACAGTTCTAAAAATGGAATGAAATTGGAATAAATGCTTCGTTTCATCTTTGCAAATGAACTATGTTAATTGCTCTTAACCTGTTTTTTTGTAATGTGGAAACAAATGTTAAGTGTTTGTTGAAAGAGATTTATTTGAGTTACCTGTGAGGTGGGAAGAGGCTTCAGGATAGATTCACATAGGAATTACTTCCTTAAGAAGGATGGTTTATATGACTCCATAAATAGGTTCTAGCTTTAGGAGGACACACATTTACATTTACAGGGTGTAATTCCAGTCTCCATTAGAAGCTGGTGGTGAGAAAGCATCGTGGCAGAGCTGGTGGAGGATGAGGAGTGTGGAGTTTTCCAGCAGGCAGCTCGGTGCCTCGTGCTTTGGGGCTGACAGAATGCAGGTTCTGATGGGCACACTGGCTGTTGCTCACCGTCGTGTCTTACTGGATTTGTGGAGCCTCAGCTGTGCCAGCACCACAGAGCTGCTTTAGGAGCTGTGCCTGGAAATGCTGAGCTCCAGGGAAAAGCCTTTCCTCAAAAGACCCGTTCTTACACACGTAGAATAGAGCAGACTGGAGCTGGTGAAACGCCTTGGCCTTGCCAGCAGCCAGATGGAGAGTGATGGAAAAGGCAAATCTGCCAGTGCACAGGCCTGCAGTGTAAGGCAATTGCATGGGAACATTCCCTTTCTTTATCTTCCTGAGAGTAAGGGCAGAGCTGCACAAGGCAGGGCAAGGAATGTCTCTGCTTGCTTAACAGTAATCCCTCTCCTCTAGACTACCCAAAATGGCATTTCTAGCACTGACTTTTTTTTTTTTTTACTTTCCCACACTTTATTTCCATTACTGCTGACTGTGTTTAATGCTTTCATGTTGCTTCCAGAGCTGTTTCTGCTTCTAATCCACTTGTAACTCCTTAGGGGATTCAGGGAGCAATAATTAACCTTTTGGTCCAAGAATTTCAATGGTTTCCTGTAGGTACTCCACTGCAAGCTCTAAAAAGCTTGGAGTATAAAGTGGAGGGGCAGCTAACTGTGCTACAGCACATTTGTACAGAATGTTGGGCTAATTAGTTGGGAAAATTTTATTTCAGCTTGGTTCACTCATTGCACCTGCAGAGGTGCAGCAGGTTTTCTGCTTGCCTGCTCTTTGTAAAGCTGTGTTTACCTACCCTGTGGTTTCACCACTTGGCTTAAGCTTAGGCACTGTACATAGTGCTGTGTGTGCTTGTTCTTGTCTTGTAGGGTCACGGGCTTTAAATGAGGGAGACAAGAGTGCAGCTGAATGAGGAATGAGATTTGGTACTTTCCTGTGCACCTTGCAAACAGCTGAAAGCACTTTACTTGGGTTTTGTACTGAGCCACAGCATCTGAGCTGAGTGAATGAACTTTCTGCCAAAATTTAGTTACTTCTTTATGGTTTCTCGATTTATTAATTTATTTTATTTTTACTGCTTCTTTGGTGTGTGTGTTTTAAGGTTGGATAAATTAGGAGGTTCGGGATTTGCCACTTGAGAGTTTTGCTGTAAAGAGCACTCGTGGTAAACTGATTGAATTGCTTCTTGCCTCTATTAATACCTCTAGTTTTGTCCAGTCAATAAAAAAAAGTCTTTTCCAGACACAATTGATGAATTATTAATTTTTAAAAGTCAGCTTCATTGTTTAAGATGTCGCATGTTTCCTGATTTTTCTTACTGAAGAGATGCTGAAAGTGTTTAGCCTACCTGCTCTGTGTGACTGAGGAATGTGTTCCTGAGAAGAGTATTGCACACAGAATGGTGTGACTTCCCTGGTCCTTCCTGTGGGATACACCTGGGAATTTATTGGGGCACAGTCTTTTAAAGTAGATAACAGAATGGATACAAGTGATTGCTTTGGGTTTTTTTGTGTTTTGTTGTTTATTTTTATTTCCCAAAAGATGCAATGCATGCTATAAGTTATGTGCTGTAGATAAATACAGTAAATTTTAATGGTTTTGTATTTGTGAGGAACCTGGGGCTGGATCCCAGGTGTTGCCTATGATGTTGTGTTCCCCAGGTGTATGAAGCATGATACATCTCATGGAAGGGAAAATCCACCACACGGGAAAATGTTTAATGTGGGGTTTCATTAAACAAGCTGCTCTTTTACCTTAGCAAGGAAAATGTTCTCATAAGGGGGAAAATACTTTAAGTGAGTTCTGGGACTGAATTGCATCACGTGGATTCAGGTGAACATAATCCTGCTCACTGCTGTGAGGGGCCACAGAGCAGGTGGGGGATGATGGCCGGCCTTGAGTGTGAATTTTCTGCTTGGAAACAGAATTTTTTTTGCATAAGTAAACCAGTAGTGTACAAAAGAGATTGACAGTGTATGCCCTTGGTCTTTATCAGGTGGCATTTCTGTCTTTGAGAGTGTTTTCTCCCCAGTGTATGTAGTTTTATATCATAGAGTGGTTTGGATTGGAAGGGACATTAAAGCCCATCTCTTTCCAGCCCCTGTCATGGGCAGGGACATCTTCCACTGTCCCAGGTTGCTCCATGCCCTGTGCAACCTGGCCTTGGGCACTTCCAGGGATCCAGGGGCATCCACAGCTGCTCTGGGCACCCTGTGCTAGAGCTTCCTCACCCTCGTAGTAAATAAATTTCTTCCTAATATCCAGTCCAGAACTTCCCAGAGTCTTGTGCCTGCATTACCTTTGTGGGCACTTCTTCAATCCCTTCCCCAGCTTCTCCAGGCCATGGGAGTTGGATAGTGGGAGCAAGGGAGGCACGAGTGACACGTGCTTGGCTTGTCATGCAAACTTAGTCTGCACGTACTTGGGGGGATTATAAATATTTATAGCAGCTATGCAACTTAGTAACATTCATCACTCAACAAGCACGACTTCCAATAAAATAGAAAGGCATTCTTAAATGCAAAATAAATGCAAAAAGAGCTTTATAGAGGTAACAAGCTTTCTCTGAGGAGAAACCCAGCAGGTATGGCTGGGTTTCAGCACCAAGTGGATTAAACTGCTGAGGTCAACATCTGAGTGCTTCTTAGGGGAAAGAAAAATCCTTTGGGACTGTGCTGCTGACGCCCTGCTCCCAGCTGTCATCTGCTCCAGCTTTTTGGATGGGAGGAGGCCAAGGACTGGAAGTGGGCTGGGGTGACCTCGGACATGAGACCACACCCTGAGATGCTGCCAGCCAGCAGTGAGGGCTCCAAGTGACCCTTCAAGTTCTTCTCCTCTGTTGCCATCTCATAATTATGCATACTTGGGATGATGAATATCGGAAGAGGCAGAGCACAATTAAAGATGATCTGGATTTGTTTTCATTAAAATAGAGATGTTATCTGTACACTTTTTTTATTGCTTTCCTCAGATTTTTTAATTAAAAGCCTTAGAAACGAGGCTTCTCATGAAGATCCCTTGTGTGACAGGGAAGAGGGAAGCTGTGTTCCAGGCTGCAGAATATGGTTTTGTTGTTTATGAGGATGTGGGGAAAAATAAATCATGGAATTAGTTTTATATACTTAGTGTGTATAAACAAAAGAAGTTGCAGTGTGCCTTGACATTATTTATCCCAGGCAACTGGGACAAGTCAGGGGTGTTGGCTGGCAGGTGTCCTGTATATAATACTCAACATGTGCTGGCTTTAATGGTTTGACCTCATTTCTGCATCTCTTTGGTCAGTGTTGTGGGGTTGTGTGCAGCAAGGGGGAATGCAGGGGGGACTGGGTGCTGGGATGGATGATGGAGAGCACCCCAGCATTCCAGTTTTGGGAAGGGAGGGACTGGGGCTGGCTTGCAGCCTTTGGGAAGGGATCGTGCCTGAGGAGCATGGTTGCTCTCCCATGTCTGAGGCCACTTGTGTTTCATGTCCTCCCTTTGTGCCCAGCCCTTGCCCCACTGTTGACCCACGTCAGTCACACCTTGGCTATTCCTGTTTGCTCTTGATATTGCTGCCTTCCCCCAGCAGCAGCCTGTAAATGTTTTCTTGGGCCTCAAAGGTGGCTGATTTGGGCATCTGTCAATAAGGAGTTATTTCCATATCTATAACATTTTAATAGAAGTTACTGTATATAAATCCCAGGCTCTGGATATGGGTACAAAGCTGTGTGGCTACTGCTCTATAGGAAACAAATTTCTTACTGTAACAATTTGTTTGTCTTTAAACCTCGTGTAATTAGGCAAGGATGCTGCTGCTTCATTTTGACCATCAAAAGGAACTGCTGTGATTGGGAATATCACCTTTTTTTAAAGCAGAACCCCAAGGAACTGTTGTTAAGGGACAGCTGTGGGTGTGCTGATGTGGACATTTGTGCTGGTGATGGAGTCCTGGGACAGGAATTTTTAAAACTTCTGATAACTCTGGGTAGGCACGTGCATTGGGTAGGAAGAGGAATCTAACTGTCCTGCTTTAGGGAAAGGATGGAGCTTTACATGCACAGGGCATCAGTCTTAGGTAGAGTATTTTTTGAAGAGCTGAACCAAGTTCTTCCAAAGTTGTAAAGGTGTGCAAGGGCTTCTGGTTTCTGTTAATCCAGTTTGTTAGTAAATAACCAGCTTTGGGGCTGTCGGTTTAGACACGTAATGCAAACGAGCTGATGAAATATTTCTTGATTCTTGGCCTCATCGAGTTCTGGTTTCTTGTTTATTGGTTGTTTTGGGTTTTTTTTATTAAGCTCGATGACATTGCTTTGCTCTGCACATCTTTTGACCCGCTGCCCATGTCCTGTGGTGGATAATTCACGCCTATTCATAGCAGAAGAGCACTTAAATGCTGTCACTTAAATGTTGATTGTTCGGAGATTAGGGATGGAATGGCTTTGTGCCTTTTATCTTTTCTGAACCATTTATTGCTCTCTGTATGCTGGATCAGATCCACCCTGATCAGTGCTCCCTGAGAAATGATTGTTCCAGACAACATAATGACTTTCATATGTCATTTTCTGATTTCCAGCTTGAGCTTTAAAAATGTTGGTGGAATAATGGGTTTCTGTCGGATTACTGTAATTCAAAAGGTCATCTAGGTAATAATTATCTTATGCACTTGGTTTAAGGAATTCAGAAGCACAACATGCATTCAAATTCTCTTTGCAGATTGAATGATTGAGATTTGCATGCAGATGTCCCAGAATATAAAGACTAGACCTAAATCTAAAGAGAGCTTTACAAAAAAATGTAGATTATAATTTTGGTACAAATTGAAAATTTAATTTATTTCTCGATTGAACTTCTGACAAAGCAGTTAGCAGAAGTGTGTTTAAAGTATTTCACTGAAAGTTTCACGAGCAGCAAGGTGGGATAAATGATCTCTAGTTCCCAGTGAAACTGTCCATTTAAGAAAGGATTCTAAATCATAGGTTTTAAACCCATTGTTTCAAATACCTGGAAATTAATTAAGATAATACAACATACTATGAACTGGATATATTTTGGTGCTTCCCAGTCCTTGTGTTATCATCTGCAGTATTCAGCAATGGGAGACTGGGATAATAGTTTTATTATTAAAAGAAATATATTTGTTAATAAATACTTTATTACTGGTTCTGTGTGCACCTCTTGAACTGTGTGTGTGCCTACAGGTTTTGCTTAGCTGAGACTTGTTATGTGCAAGACTGAAATACAGGTTTTTGAAAATGTAATGGATCAACTCCCCACAGCAAAACCTTTTATTTCTGTGAACTTGAAATCTCATTATGGGTTGGTGCTGCATGTTGGAGTTTATGTACTCTCTGTTCTCATGTGCTAGTGGTCTGAAGATTTATGTCCTTACCTACCAGCATTTGGCCTAGTTAAACACACTCTCAAGATTTTGGTGTGGAACTCAAAGCCATAATTCTCACCTGTGTGTAATTCAGTTATATCTTCATTTCAGCTCTTAAAATGTAGGTGAGTTTTAGATCTCTGCCTGCTCCTGGAATCTGGGGCCCATGGGTGTGATTATGTCAGTCTGTGCTCTCCCTGCTTCCCCACCCCTTTCAGAAAAGGGATAGCACAGTTACTGTTTTGGGGAGATTGTCATTTTTGGAGCTCTCAGGATACAAATGTTTATTTATTTTTCTTTCTGCAGGTCTTTTTGGTTCAAGTTAATCCAGGTGAAACCTTTACAATAAGGGCTGAGGATGGAACCCTCCAGTGCATCCAAGGTAAGAGGATGCACAAACATATGGATGAGCATTGCTTTGCTTCATGGAACACCTGTTGTGTCCTCTCTCCAAAAACATGATTTGCAGCTCTGAGAATGCACTGAAGTTCTGGGGAGAGAGAACTTGCAGACGTGGCTGCTCTCTGTATTCTAGGAGCTCAGTATCTCAGAATGAGTCATGCATTTCTTGGAAGTCCAGGAGGATTTCTTTCTTCTGTTATTTATTTATTTATCAGTCCCATCTTGCGGCCTCCTTGCATCTTTTCTGTGACACCCCCTCCATTTAAGCAGTGGAGGAGTGGGTGGTTCTTGCTTGGAGTTCCATCCCCATGGAAATGATGAATTAATAGCTGTTTGAGATAGATGTTACAGAAGCTTCCCTGAGCACCATCCAGGGTTATTTGGTCTTGATGAGCAATAATAACAGCAATTTAAAGCTGCTTGTTGAGATTTATAGCCAGCATGCTGTGTGGTAAGGAATTGGTCCATGTGGCAATTAACAGAGGAATAAAGCTGGCTACTCCTTTTATTTAAGAAGAATGCTTTATTCTGGCTTAGTACAGGAAAGATTTCCATTACAAATATAATTATGACCCCATTTATTTATAATTTTGTTCATGCTCAAAGTGGTGTTCAGACAGTGTATTTAAATGAATGCAACTTGAAACCTCATGGTTCTGTATTCCCAGCAATTTAATGTGTTTGTGCCAATGGGACTTGTTTGGTACTCATCAGCAGTCTTTCATAAAATTGATTTAGAATTTCTAGCATAAGATTGTCTCCTTTTATTTGCTATAGCTGCAGTATTGACTGCCAAGGCTCATGTATATTTGTATCTTTCAGTTTGGCCTGAAAACTTTTAATAGTCTTTTCAAGCTAAAGCTTCTCATCCTACTTTTTTCTAAAATATCTTTATTGCTGAATTAAGTACGTGATGCAAACACAGGAAAGCACCTGACTGTGGTGGGGTGTGCTTTTTTTTCTTTTGGTAAAGCTGCTCTTAACCATGTAGTTGTGGAACTTAATAGTGCTCTACTGCAGAAGATCTGTTGTAATCAGCCTGAAAATATAGTAAGATTTGGATATGTGACAGTTCTGGGTTTTGCTCTGAGGTTATTCTAGAAGACAGGCTTATGTTGTGTGCAGTGTTTTTGGAAATTATACACCCCTTGCTCCACAAAAGTTAGTGTCTTTTTTCCCTCCTGTTACAGGGTTTTTGGTATGTTTAAAGGTTATGGAGTGTTTGGTGTGTTTAAAGGTGAATGTATTTCCTATACATAGGGCAGCACTCAGACAATAATGATGCATTTTCCAATGCTCCCACATTGCACTATGATTAGCAGGATAAGGAATAATTTTAGCACTATGTTAAGGCAGCATGAAAGTCTCTTTTTGGGCAGTGCCTCTCGGCTGGTAGCTCCCTGTGGAATAGATGATTCTTGCTTTTTCCTTACTGCCACGTATTCAGGCTTATGACATAAGATGTGCTGCTGAATATTCAGAGTGTGAAGGATGGCTTTATTACAAATTGGGTGACTCTCCTGAATTCAGGGAGTGAACACTGTTAATAAAAACTTGAGATGTCAGGCTCGTAACATTGAATTCTTCAGGATACACAAAAGCTCTTCCCAAGTGATCATTCTGCAGGGACAGATAACTTTGCATATGTAGAATATTTTTTTTTCTTTTAAATTTTGCATATGGCTTTTTGAGCAGTATGAAATCTTCAGGTTGTGCTCTTGGAACCAGTTCTGGAAACCCTGTGAGCCCCACTTTGTGTCCAGAACCCTGTTTGGCTCCACAGCTGTGGTCTCTGTATGTGCTTTAGAGGACTGAGGCAAAAACAACAGAGAAGATGACTAAGTGAATCTTCATTTGTCTTACCCAGGCTGGAAGAAAGACACTTCTTTGAATAAAACCTCTGTGAAATATCCTCTGTTTTAAACACCCTGAAGTGTAATTAGCCACTAATTGAGTAATCACTGTTTTAAGCCAGAAAGAACAGATGCACGTTTGAATGTTTCTGACGTTTTGGAGTGGTGGAGGAATCTCAAATACAAAAAGAAAGCAAAGCAAAAAAATCCCAAAAAACCACCCAAAACCTTAATAATAAAAAACAGGAATAAGTATGTATTTGTAACTGAGAATGCACGGTGTTTTGTTTTTTTTTAAATATAGTTGAAGATGAGTTGTTTAAGACAATGATTGATAAGCCCTGTAGATCATAGTGTGGGCCTGGATTAGGCAGCTCTTGGAAATGATGGTGGCTGGGAGAAATTCAGCTGGTCAGTGGGCATGGAGAAGGTCTGTGGTTTCCTTGAGAAGACATTTAAAGAGAAAATAAATAAAAAAACCTGCAATAAATCTGGTCTTCCAGAGGAGTCCAGCCCTTGAGTGCACAGTCCACGTGGTGAGTTGTTTAGGGAAGCATCTGCACAGTTCCAGGTGCTCTCAGCAGGAGTTGTGTTGTTGTCTGACTTCCTCAGGATTTGCATTCTCCATCCCATGTGGTAGAAGAGATGCTGTGCTGTGTGACTTTAGTAGCCTTCATAACAACAGCCAAAAAAAGGAGTAAGGAAAAGTGATGTTGGGGATTAATTGAGATTAGTTTTTTAATAGTTGCTAGAAGCTGAATTGAGACATGAGTTTGCCTGTGTGGATGGGAGGCACATGGTGCTGCCCAGCTGGGCTGGGCAACACCCCAGGGCTTGCTGGATATTGGGTCTGGCCACCTGGCCTGTGGGATGAAGGGGAAACATAAAGCACATCCTTTATTCATGTGTGATTCCATGGCCAGTCTTTGTTCCTTTTGGTCCATCTGGGTGTTAATGACAAATCACTGGTGTGCTTCCTTTGGGATTTCCCTGCTCACACCCAGAAGGAGCTTGGGGCTCTGAGTGCAAAGCTGCCTCTGGGTGGTTCAGAGGAGGCTGCTTCAGGATCTTTGTTCAGTGGCTTTGAAGATGGAACATGTGTATGTGCTCTGTCATCAGTCTTCTAAAAGCTGCTCTTTATATAAAGTTTGACAGGTATTAAATACTTCATAAATGTGTCAATACTTCATTTCCTTTTCACATATTCCCTTTTTATTTGTCAGAAACTCAGGACTTGACTATTGCTAGCTCTGCAAGAAAAGGACAAGGGTAGGGCATATCCTCAGCCATGTCTTTACTCAGCTGTTAACTGTGGACCTTGTATTTCCTTTGTATGAAAGATTGCTTCTAGCTAGTGCTGTGTGGAAACCACAATAAATGAAATATGGAGCAGGGTGAGAGCCTGGATTTGGTAACTACAGAATGGAATTGAAACAGACCTCTGAATTTAAAAAAAAATCATTCAGCTTTCTAAATTTCAGAATAAATAGCTCTCACATGAATCTGACATGTTCAGGAAACTCACGTTTCCCTAGTGGCTGATTAAAGACAAGTTTTTTAGCCAATATCTTAAGATCTTTGGTAGGAACTTTTGTTGCTGCCTGAGAGTTTTGTCATTCACACTTTAAAAATTGACTGTTTGTGCATAGTTTGGGGCAGTGAAACTGTACTTGAGAATCTGTTCAGAGCCTTTCCCTCCTGGAAGGCAATAATGCCAAGCTGTCACACCCACTGTGGTAGGAATAACATGGGCAGAATGATTTTTCTGGTGCCACTTGAACTTGCTTGTCACCCACATGTTGAAAATATATATGTACAGAGTATGCAGGTATCCACTGATCATGCAGAACTGCCCAGTTATTGCTAAATGTCCTTTTTATTGCCATCCATGTAAATGGTCCTCAAGCTGGATCTCATTTTCTGCCACAAACCAAACTGAATTTCCTGTAAGCATGTAAAGCTGCAAAAAGCCTGTAACAAGGTAGAAGAAAAGCAGCTGACGGATTAAAAAATGGAATTCCTGGTAAATTCTGCCTAACCCATGCTACTGGAAATACTCTCTTGAAACTCATTTCTAGTCTTTGTCTTGTATGCCAGTACAAGGTTTGGAATAGTGAAGAATAGAATTTGCTTGAAAAGAAAACAACTATGGTAAAGGGTTAAAAATTCTGCTTTAATTCTGGCTGGAGCAGAGGGAATTCACCTTTGCATTGGGTGAGCAAGGCTCTGCATTAAACTGACTTTTGTGATTTATTCAAGGACAAGGTACAGATGTGCAATGGCATGGAGGGAGTGTAGTTATGTTGGAGCATAAATATCTGCTGCAGACAAGGACCTAAATTGCTTTTGGGTGGTTGTATTTTGAAATGAAAACAGGATAAAAGCATAGTCAGTTTACTAATACTGATATTTGTTTCAAGTGATGTTTTCAAGTGTTTTGCCATTGAGGCTTGAAGTCTTTGCTTCTTATTTTGTAAAACAAATAATGCAAGAATTAAATTTTAGTGCTGCTTTGTCTGTGGCTCTAAAAGTGAGTAACTCGAGAAAAAGACCAGAAGTATGCAAAAAATTTAGCAGTGGCTCCTAAAATGAAAGATTTCCTGGAATTATTACTCCCTTAATTTGGTGGGTGGGTGTGGTTTGGTGTGGTAGTGCAAAGGAATGGATAATATTAAAGGCTTAACAGCTGTGTATTTGTATAGGAAGAGTGTGTGTCAGTGAAATAAGGCTGTAGTACAGTCCAAGCAAACCAAAGTGTGTATTTTTTTTTTCCCCTTTATGTTATGAGGTTGGAAATGAGGAAGTGAGTCAGTTTCTAGCAGGGGAGGAAAGAGATGAAAATAGATGGGACAGTGTGTGAGCAGGTGAGTGGTACCTGTGGAGTGTTACTGGGTGGGGACAGAGGCCCCAGGATGAGAGTGGTGATGGGAACAGATGGATCACAGAATCCCAGAATGATTTGGGTTTGAAGGGGCCTTAAAGATCATCTCATTCTAACCCCCCTGCCATGGGCACTTCCACTATCCCAGGCTGCTCCAAGCCCTGTCCAACCTGGCTTTGGACACTTCCAGGGATGGAGCAGCCACAGCTTCTCTGAACAACCTGTTTTAGTCTGTTAACATCTTCA